TGGGGACGGGTCGCGTTGCACTGATTGTCGGTCGCATTGACGGGGCATTTCTCGTTGCGCGTTATACGGGGCCGGGAAAGAGTCGTCAGAGTACCTCGGAGCTGCAGCCAGGCCCATTGCGAAGCGCCGGTGACAAAAGCACGCCACGTGACCTGGATATCCGCATGCATAACAGATTGGACGATTGTCAGCTGTGCGCCAATGGTTTCCGTTATAGCGCTGTTGTGTTGCTGGAAATGGCGTCGTTGGTACTCGTAGAGGCTGGGGAGTCGGCCGAAGTGGAAGTCGTGGTGGAGTAGCAGCAGCAGCAGCGTAAGTCAGTGGCGCGGTGACAGGTGTTGTCTGAGAGACGGGCGGCAGTGTCTCAGAGACCTGCGCGTGTATTACCTGTCTGATGGCGGGCGCGAGACGCTCGGAAGAGGGTTCCGTTGCCGGTTGATACGACAGACACGAAAGTTGCCGGGCCTCCTCTTCGCGCACATATCGTTTGATTTCCGACATGATTGTGTTGTGGTCTCCACTTAGGGTCAATGCCGCAAGAGTTTCGTCGGTAGCCGCTGGCCGCCGTGTCATGACCCGTTGTTTGCGCAATTCCTCGAAGCTCTGGCAAAGAGTGGTGAGTTCGGAAACGGTACGGGGACCCTTGGCCAGCAGCATCTGGAAGGCGTGGTCGTCTATCCCCTTCAAGATGTGTTTATTCTTGTCTGCTTCGATCATTTAAGGGTCAAGGTGCTTGCACAAGTCGAGCACATCATCGATGTAGCTTGCAAGCCTTCCCCCTGAAGCTGTGCACGTCCCCGTAGACGCTGTTTTGCACGGAGCTTGCGTACCTCGGGGCAACCGAATACATCGGCAATGCGTAGCTTAAATACACCCCAAGTGGTGAATGCCGAGTGGTGGTTGTTAAACCAGAGACTCGCTACCTCGTTCAGATAGAAGGGTACATATTGCAGCTTCGATGTGTCGTCCCACTTGTTGCTTGCGCCTACCTTTTCAAATGTCGACAGCCAATCTTCTACGTCTTGCTCATCGGTACCGTCGAAAAAAGGTGGATCGCGCACGCGTAGGGCAGTGGGCACGATGACCATTGGAGGCTGGGTCATACCTTGCTGGGTGGTTTCTTCAGCAATTTCTGGGATGGCAGGTAGTTTCCTGTTGCGGAGTTCCAGGTTGAAATACCCAGCACCTCCATCACTCTGAAACGGGGTTTATTGGCACAAGTAGTACATGCACAGCAGGTCGATTGATGCGGAAAGTGGGCGGCAGCAACGGACTCGGAGCAAACGCTCGCGCTTGGCTCTGCTCGCTAAAGGCGTGACCCACTGCGGCACATAATCTTCTTCCTCTCTACACCTGTAACAATTGCCACTGTGTTGATGGCACCAGTGCTATTTTTTACAATCCACAACTGCAAGAAAAAAAAACCAAGTGGACTTGGGAGCAGCAACAGTTTACCAACGGGGTCTGTCAAGTTAAATATCCGTTGCGCGCTCGTTTTAAAAGGTGACATCTGCTCACGCTTTATGACGCCTCTAGGCTCATTCCATAGATACGCCCGCCTAATTTTTTTGATTGAGTATTGGGATGCTTTTCACGCAATGTAGAGGGCAGCCGTGCCATCGCAATGCTGTAGCTCTTTCGCTATAGCAACAACTACATAACGGCTTGGCCAAAACGAATGCAGTGTGCCGGAAACCATACGCTATCATATTGGTTCCCCAAGCATACGAATTGCCGCGTCTGAGTTCTCGCATAAAAGCTAGAGAAGTGCCGGCGAGTGCGACCGACGGCTGTCGGTGAGAAGAGACGTACGTTCTCTGGGAGTGCTTGAATCGCGTCGCATCGATGTTTGTTGCTTCTTGAGCGGACACCATGCACAATTAAAAATACTTAATTTAGGTTAATTGATGCCATGGCTGCGCTGTATTGTCATTCTTAATCGTCGAAATTGTGTATTCTCAAACCCGGAAGCACGGATAACACAATTGTACGGGCTCGGTCGGTAGGCCTAACCTTTGGTGGAAATCATGGTGGTAGAACATGTAGTGTACAGATCCCAGCTTGCTACACTATATAAATTGCCCGCCATTATAAGTCCACCCATCATCTGCTTACTGCTTCCCAGCATTATCGCAATGGTGGGCAGAGCTTCTCAGCTTGGTACAGCATGTGGCCCACCACAACAAGCAGCACCCATCATCTGCTTAGTGCTTCCCAGCATTATCGCAATGGTGGGAAGAGTTTCTCAGCTTGGTACACCATGTGGCTCACCATAATAAGCACCACCCACCATATGCTTAGGGCTTCCCAGCATTATCGCAATGGTGGGCAGAGTGTCCCATTATTTCCCACTATCAAGCCTCTGCTATCCACCATCATTTCCACTTTACCCATCATCTGTACACCATAGCACCCAGTATGTGCCGGCATATCCACCACATTTTCCACTACGTCCCACCATATCCATCATGATTTCCACCATGCCCACTATTATTTCCACTACGCCCATCATGTTTTTCAGCATCCACCATGGCAATTTTTCTGATAGGGCTGTGTTTTAGTGACAGCGCAGGCAAAATAGACATTAAGGAGGTAGAAATAACCAAGACGACGTTAATTGATAGGTGGCTACAATGAATCCACGACTAAAATTTAATCCTTCGCTGCACAGGCCTAGTACTAGCTAGTTGTTAATGTATTCCGGCTAACCATCATAATCCCCTGCTCCATATAACGGGTACAGCCTTATCCATCTATCCATTAGAAACCATCTCGTAAAGTGTTGGCATTTTCGAAATCCTTGTGGTGTCAAGCTTCAACTAGCGCCCGTTAGCGCGTGACCCACACACACGCACACACACACACAAACACAGGCTCCAGTCACGCCTTTCAGTAGAGGTACACGGATTCATGCAAACTGAAAAGCCGAGTGTTAGAGTTTCATGGAACTTCAACTAATTACAGAGAAAAGCTTTTTTTTTCTTCTGTGGCCACTACAGCAAAAAGTGAATACTTGATCGTTTCAGTTGCGAAACACAATTTACATAAAACCTAAACACGCTAAAATACAACAAAAACGATCCAGCACTGTGAGAAACAATACTGTCACCGAAGGCCAGTACCGCATAGATTAACAGCACTTCTCACTCACGTAATTCGGTGAATTTGAGTATATGACTGCTTAATTCGGCGAGCGCCAGTGCCAAACGTTACCGTAGCAGATGCAAACGTCACCGTGGGACCATGGACGTAACACAAGAAGTGGCTATAGTTATGTCTGGATGTAACAATAGCGCTGGCTATAGTTACGTCTGGATGTAACAGTAGCGCTGGCTATAGTTACGTCTGGACGTAACGATTGTGGTGGCTATAGTTACGTCTGGACGTAACAATTGCAGTGCTTACAGTTACGTCTGGACGTAACCCTAGCCACAGCCTTGCGAGTTTCCGATGATGGTTGATGTTGGTGTATGTTTAGGGAACTTCCATAAGATCTGCTCGACTGGAGGTGCGCCTGTGGCCAGTTTTGTGTAAGCAGGCATGGTGGTTGAGTGGCCGTAGCGTTGCAAGTAATAAAGTAGATCCTCCATGAGCGGTCACAACGTGGTTTATTTTCACGTTTCGGCCTAGAGTCTGGCCTTCATCAAGATTAAAGGTACATTTGTTGGTGCTCAGCTTTATACAATCTTAAATTAGAGGGGGAGAGAGAGAAAGAGGCAGAAAACGAAAGAAAAAAGAAAAAAAGAAAAAAGGGGGAATTTAAGGTGGACTCTCCCGGGCGCCCCCATTCCACCTTTCCTTCCCCTTCCCCCTCCATCTCTCTCCCTTTTCTCTTTTTCACCTTTAGGATGTCTGCGGTCAGTGTATCCTTCCTTTCACTAACGCATTGTTCCCGACCAGATGGCGCCTCCTGGCTCTGGCGCTTCGGTGTGGGGGAATATATATATACACCTATTTCCTTCTTTCATAGCGACGGTTTCTTTGTGGCAGATTGATTTCATTGAGGTAGTATGCGAAGAATTTTCTATCAGCTGCCAGCTAGTGATAAGATCGCGAGCTTTTTGGCACCAACAGGCAAAAAAAGTGTTCCACACTCGCCGTAAAAGCAACAGCTGCCTCCGACCGACACTGCTACGTTTAAATGCACATATATATCCTGCAAAGTAGAAGGAGGTTCGATCGCCACTGTGGCTTAGTGGTAGAGCATCTGACACGTTATTCGAAGGTCACAGGTTCGGCCCTTGACGACGACAAGTTATTTTTGGTCGACTTTCCTTTCTGCACGTTTGTATTACAATTACTTGTAAGAATATTTTCGATATTTTGCTTGGCTTCACTGTCTGTTCTCATTATATTGGTTCTAACAAATCACACCAGCCCTCAAATCTACTCTTCTTTTCTTCTGAAAAAAAGGTTGTTCTTTTGTTAAAACACAATAAACGTATTTTTCACACGTCCAGATTATTGGCCTCCAAAAACTCCGGCGTAATCTCGTACATGGTATCTGTTTGTCTTGTTTTCAAATGTTTGGTGTCAGTCCATAAATTTGACGGTAAACCAATTCCACAACTTCGGAACTGGATACTGACAAATAGTGACATTGGTTACAAAAACTTCAAAGACTAAATGTTTGCGAACTTCAGCCTTTTTTCGGTGATTCTCTAGCGGGAATTTACAAACACATTGCATTTTTGCTATTATGGGTTGGACATTTATTCAAAACAAGCAACTGAAATATTTCACGTATTACCCTATTTATATGTTCACCTGCTACTTATGTATCCTTTCAAGCATTTGCATTCCACAATGATAATCATGCAAACTTCTTCAAGAAAAGATATGGTTTTCAGCTTGTCCTCATGGCTTCAATAAAGCTTTGTAAGTGTAGATACAACGAAAAGTTGAGACAAACAGTCCAGCCGGCTTATATTTCTTGTCACATGTCAAGTGACAGGTGCACAAGCCAACTAAATCAGAAACACATACACTGTGAAGGGGATGCAAATCACTTTATGCTTTAATTAGTTGACTGAGTTGCAATAAACCTTTCGTGCCCTTTATAATGCTCATGTAGAAAAGTAAAATATGTATCTTTACTTGCAATTTATTATATATTGTTATTTTTTTCTTAATTATTATGACATGCATCTTTATTTGTAGTGGTGACTGTCCGCAATGACTCGTAGACGAAGCCCAGAATTTTGTTCGTGTAGCACCCGTTTCTTAATAATGGTGGTGCGACCTACGTGAAACAAATAAGCAGGTAAATATTATTACTTCACAAATAATTCATACAACGAAATAGCTATTATCAGGCTATAGGATCCCAAGTTGTCAAGAGGTCTTTTCGCTCCTTAAGAGTGTCCCCTTGACCGAATCAGAAGAAGCTCAAAGATGCGCGGCGACACGGTGAAGGCCAACTGACATTATGACACCCAGAAAAGCAACACACTCTTAACTGAGCGGTACGAAAATTGAAGTACAAAAAGAAGACACCTTGAAGTACAAAAGAAATTTGCCTTTCTTTTGTACTTCAATTTTTTGCTTAATTCAGTTATGATGAATTACCGAATTGCCCAGCAGTCCGTGCTTCTAAAAGAAACGCATCTGCATTAAACACGTCGACTATTCCCTTAGTCAAATCTTTGAAGCTTTCTGAAGAGCGCATATTGTGCCGCGCTGTCATTGAAAACATGACGGACGAATCTACGAAAAGATGTAATTGGGCGTGTTAAGCTTGCTTGTTCCTACTGGACAAAATGTAAAAATCCAATATACGAGGAGCTGCCTGAGTTACGTCGGAAAGGTCCTTGTTACATGCAGGTTGTAGCTTCAAACGCTCACTGCTTATATACGCCGTCAACTCAGAGGTTGATTGTCTCGCGCGTTATTTTCTTTTCTGAAAGTACACGGCAGGCACGGAATGACAAATTTGAGCTCACATCTCTGTGCTTATTGTTGAAATTGGTGTAGATAACGGACGTTCACCTGCACCAGGAACACATAAAACCAAAGAAGAAGGAATGACAGTGACCAGCAGGTCTCAGAGCTGTTTGAAATGGAAGTTTGTGGACGGTAAGTCGTTTGACGCGGTACCAGCTGACAATACACACTACGCCGGCTCCCCGCCATCCCTGCAGAGATGCATTGATTTTCTAGGGTAAATTACGTCTATAACACGTGCTTGCGGTGATACGGGAAGCTTCTCCGCGGGCACCTCCGTGGGGCACTTCTGGAGTAAAGTGCCCGTCGTAACTAAATACAAGATTATGATTCAGTAATCAATACCTTGGGTGTTCCTAAATTAAATTTAGCTTAGATGTGCTGCGCATGCATGATGCAGAAAGGACGTCTAAACGTGATTGCTTGTTTCGGCAGCTTCTATACCGTGCATACTTTTCAAATGAGTGCTTGCGTTCCCCATTATGTTGCTTGAAAAAGGTGGCTATTAATAGCATGACGCTCAAGCATGTTTTCAAACTCACGGCTGTTTTCTTGTAATCTCTCTAGATCATCAACGGACAAGAGGTGCCAGGCCTTCCAATGCTGCTGATATGACTTATCTTATGTTTCGTGGGTAACTCATCCTTTCTGTCTTGCGAGGGCTACGAGTATACTCTAACAGTTAATATTCAGATGCTGAGACTGGTCCGTGTTTAAAGGAAGCTGGTGAGAGAATGCTTCACTGCAGGCCGAGTGCATCCTAGCATGTGGTGATTTCACTAAAGCGGGAAACATGAGCGCTCGCAGTCAATTAAAAGTGACCTAGAAATTTTGCTTTTATATTGCAAGGCTGACATCGCCTACCATGACTGCCCATCTGCACGGGCGACTGAGTACGAAATCTAGCGTCATTTAACAGGGCCCATAAAACACTATGAGACTTCTAAACTGCGTGTAGCGCAGGTGTGTACTTGCCGTGAAAGAAACCCCCTTATGTGGCAGGCATAAAAAGACTGCTTGCTCCAGTACATAAAAGGCGGCGAATGTCGTTGATGTGGTGAGGCCATCATTAGAGGCTAAAAGATGCGCCTTGGGAGCTCGTAGGTAGAGAGTACACTGATGTTTATTGACAAGAATAGACCTTTTCACCGACTGCTGTGGACACGCTTGACTGAGGTGAAGCGAAAATGGTCCGTGGGCACGACTTTTATTTCATTGTTAAATGGGCATGGCTTTCATTTCATTGTTAAGGAAACACGTGTCCACCACAGTAATTGTAGAAGGTAGTTGACTTTCAAAATAAAGAAGAAAAATTGAAAAGTCACGGGTGCGTCGAAGGCATGTTTGGTTTTCATTTCGCTTATCATTCATATCACAATATTATAGAACGTTGTTACAAAGGACTGCAGTGCATAAGAACACGACTACATCTAGGATGCATTCCCACTTGCCCTTGAAGGGGGTGAAAGCGGAAACACCCAAATCCATTTTTTCGACACCACCACCACGCAACATCCGACAGCATTCCCGCTTCATTGGGCTGTGCTAGATTATACACGCAATATACACATGCGGGCACCAATTAAATATGGCGGCAAAAGAGTCAGCAGTGGTTCGTGAAATCGCACACTACCTTTGCATCATGGCAAATACCACAGCTTCCACAAGGACATGTTTCTGAAGAGCCTGATTAAGGTAAAGGTTGCCGAAAACAATAGAGTAAACAAAAGGTGCAGCAGCCCAACTTTGGCGTGCCCGAACATAATTCGCTTTTACGCAGCCAGACGCATCCACCACTGCTGTTGCGGACTTTATTACTAATGTAGTTTCTGATGGTGTATTTCCTGAAAACTGTTTGATGACGGGAAAACTTTTTTTAGAATGTTTTCTGTGCATAGCTTGAATTCTGTATGAAATAGAATGCCCAGAAAGCTGTCGAAATGGAATGCCCCGGTCAAGGCATCAGCGACAGTGGCATGTATATGCGGACATCAAATGAGAACAAGTTAGACATTTGCGAACGCAGTTTTTCATCAATAAGTATCGTCGCTTTTTTTTTTCAAGCGTGAATGTGGCTTCATTGACGAACCGCCACCGCATTGCGTGAAGTACCTATAGCGTGTCGCTCAACCTCTGCCATTATTAGGCCTCCATTTTTCTGGCGAAATTGTCTTATTACTTGTTTTATGAAGTGCCAAAGACAAAAGCAGCCCTTTTGTGCTTTGTTATGGGGCATTCACTTTGCTCAGTAACATCTTTGCAAAGGTAGAGGAAGGGCAGAGGGCACGAAGGAAGCTCGTTTCGGGAAGGTTGTTGCGCAGGCCACATGAGGCTTTCGGTCATATATTTTCCTTGAAACTTTGTATTCGTTCGAAACAGCGCTCTCTAAGTACTTTCCATACACAACTAAAAAGCGAAAAATACCATTTATATGACTAACATTTCATTTCTTGCGTGCTTGTTCCTCAGTACTGGCTCCTACCTACTATTGAACATATCTACAACCTCGCTAACTCTAACTAGATCTTCTTGCTCGGCATCTTCATTAAGCATGCACCCCACTTGCATTCACTCAGCCCCGTAACATCTTTGCACTGGTGTAGGTGGGGGAAGGGGGGATGACGAAAGGAGCTTGGTCCCGTAAGGTCGTTGCATTCTTTCTTGCGGTCTTGCTCGCTGACATTGTTCCCCTGGGAGATTGGCAGCAGCAAAAGCTTCTTTCGTGATCTTTCGGAATCCATCAAAAAACTACATGCCACTCTTTCCGCAGTACGAAGCATCGAAGGTCCCGAAGTAAGGCGTGCGCTTTCACGCCATGTAACTTTTAACGGGTGCTACGCTGCGTTCAGACGACATTACGTTGTTAATTATTGAGCGTGGTCGCCTCTCCTTCAGATGGCACACAGGCTCTTTAACGTAAAACATTGCGGACATCGCCATCAACTGCAAACGTAGCAGTGCCAGGCATAGCTACTATGTACTGGCCCACGTGAGTGACAATACTTTTCAAAGCTGTTTTTTCTAGGCAGCACTTTTTCGTTCAGTTTAGCTAGAACAAAATGTGGATTCTTTTTGTCTAGTGAAATACTTTGGTCGTACACCCATTCGCGTGCCCCTTGAGAACGTCTCTTCTTTTGTGCTGATATTTCTTGTCATTACCAACTGTTTTCTCGCACTTGGTCTCGTACGAATTCGTTACCAACAAGTCATCTTGAACGTGGTACACCACCGGCTTCGTAAGTTCTTTATCGTATTGCTTTGTGACTTGCCTCCGGTGCTACAATGACCATGAACTCGGTATTTTCACGCAGGAGTTCTGCATGACACTGCCGTTTCACTTCCGTGCTGTCAAAATTAATGTGGTGTGGATTGTTCTCAGTGACACTAGAGCTCCCCTTTTCCGTTGCGAACTTTCGCGTGCCCTCGACAGTTTAATCAGTGGTCATGTTCCTCTTACTCGCTGACACGTTCACTGTTTCTATCAAAGGGTCTTCCGACTACTGTACAGCTGCCATGCCAGATGATCAGTGGTGTTGGTCACGAGAGCCCCGGTCACGAGAGCCCCGTGCTTCAATCACGTGTTCTGTTGTTGGCTAACACGTGTTCATTCGTGACATGCAGCCAATGGGCCCAGAACGAATCACTGACGAACCCATTAGCCGTTTGTCTACATTTATTTAAGCTTTCTTCCACGCTTAAGCCATCAGCTGAGGCTGAAGCCCACTCACCCGCAGCTCCAATTAGGATCGCGACAGGGCTTCTCGCATGTGACCTGATCCTCAGAAAATTCTATCCTCTGTTCTTTTCTATCCCCTTCGAGGAGTTTCTCGCAGGCTTAGATAATCGATGGCTCTGAAGCACGACAGATAGTTGTAGCGGAAGGCTTATGCTTCTCTGTCACGGTAATTATCATGTGGAGCATCGTCGCCTGCTACTTGCAGTTATAAGCCCTCAAATATCGTTGATCTCATTCGTATTCTTATTTCTTTAGCAGCTGCGAGACGTTAAAATACACCGCCGCCTACAAATGTAACGCGCATTATCAATACACAAACAATACACAAAAGTAATCTGGCATATCCCTCGAATTCCGAAAATTCATTTCATGTGAAGCAGCAGAAGGAATGGTGCCTTACTCATTTTTTTCTTTACAGCGAAAGCTGTTATAAGATCACTTTTCGGGTCACGCGCAGTTGTTGTCCGCCGCCGCCGCCGCCGGCGTCCATATTTACATCACACGGAGTTAGAACAAAAAAAACTTGCACCAATGACACAGTGAAGCTTGAACCCGGGTTTGTTGCGTGACAGCTCAACATTCTACAACTGAGTTACACCGGTGCTTATAACTTGTTGTCATACTTGCCTTAGGCAGGTTTCATGTCGGGAAAGCAATCGCGTTAATGCGACTTATAAAGCATTTTACAACAGCGAAAGAACAAGCAGTCATCGCACAATGCGACTAGCGTAATGAGTGGGCCGTCCAATGATCCAAACCATCACGAAAGTTTGTTCTTGTTCTCCTATTAACTGTGGCACATACCCACTTCATCCATAATTCATCATTGTCCTCCCCTAATGCATGGACTATCGGCACAATATTCCTTGTAAGTGTTTAGCGGATACCACACTTCTCAGAAAAATGACGAGAAATAATATGGCGAATGGCAGCCTACTACCCAAAAGTTTATTATTCATGCCCTAGAGGGCACCAAGCAAGTGTGCTTGCAGTATTTACCCAATGATTGCTTTGCAAAAGGCCCTGAAAGGCCACTCTTCTAGCTTTCGCTGGGACTCTGCGGCGCCTACCACACCGACCTGGCGTTTTTCTTTGTTTGTTTTCGCTTTCAGACACCATTATGGGGTTGATTGGTTGATTGACGTGTTTGTGTTAATGAAGTATAGTTCTCCACACGTGGTGGGCTTTCAGGCAGGACTACTTGTTGTCCGTAGCCCATGCTGCGACATAATGTTCTCTCTCATTTTATAGCCTAGGCGTCATTATAGTATATCCCTGATGCTACACTAATATTTATAACAATAGTTGTCAGGTAAAGGTGTGATGATGAGCAGTAGCGGTCATCGGCGTATTCAAGCAACACTGAAATATTCTTAGCGGTGCCATGGGTGTAAACAGTAATATTTACTACATTCTTGTTAAAGTGGAGGGTATACAATACCCACAGGCATTTTCCGCTCATGACATGCGCACGACTCAAGTGATGTGGACAACTGCACACCACCTAACTGAAGGGGACAGACAGACAGACAGACAGCCAGCCAGCCAGCCAGCCAGCCAGCCAGCCAGCCAGCCAGCCAGCCAGCCAGCCAGACAGACAGACAGACAGACAGACAGACAGACAGACAGACAGACAGACAGACAGACAGATAGACAGATAGATAGATAGATAGATAGATAGATAGATAGATAGATAGATAGATAGATAGATAGATAGATAGATAGATAGATAGATAGATAGATAGATAGATAGATAGATAGATAGATAGATAGATAGATAGATAGATAGATAGATAGATAGATAGATAGATAGATAGATAGATAGATAGATAGATAGATAGATAGATAGATAGATAGATAGATAGATAGATAGATAGATAGATAGATAGATAGTAGATAGATAGATAGATAGATAGATAGATAGATAGATACTAGGACGGATGGACGGAAACAGTCACTGTGCCTTTAATTCGCCACGAAATGCTTCGCATTAAACCCGTTTTTGTATGGGGGCTTCTTTCTCCAACATTGTGGTTACAATGCACCTGTTCACCCTTTTCGGCTTCTCTTTGAGCGTGTGTGTGTTCTTTTTCACTGAGTTTGCCCGACATAGTACATATGCAGGTAACCTGTCAATAAACCTCGTACATGAACTCACCTGAGCTTTCGTAAAACACTGAAGCCATGACAAAAAAGTTATTGGATTCCGGCTCTTCCTTTACAAGCTATAGCATTGCCTTTTCCTGAGTGCCGACCTGCGAGAAAAAATATTATAAGATCACAAATACTCCATTATTTTGAAAAACCTAGGCATTTGCATATTTGCCGCCACGTCGTTTTATGAAAAAGAAGTTAATGATATTATTCTAAGGTCAGAGTTTAATACTACTTATAACAGAGTATAATATTTTAGCCTGTACGTTACGCATCCCTCACGGGAGCAGGAAGCCCTCGAGGGCCGAAATTTGTGCCACCGTGTTGCATGGATGACGTACCGCATTTTACAAAGATGAGCGTACAAAACAGTGACGAAAAAAAGAAGTCATAGTACACCAGTCAAAGACGCTGTTGAGCTCTGTCTGCAAGCTACGATATATTATGTAATCATCAGCGACCATGAAAATATGCAATAAAAGTTGTTTAGAGTTAACCCAAAAGGATCGGTCACACCAGCACCAGTAACACAACTAGTCTCTCACATGAACCGTGGTCTAAAGTTTATTGCTCTCTTGTGGTCGCTAATAGCTGCTACAGTACAAAAACTTACATTTCCACTTTAAGGCCAAATAATAAATGGCACTTCACTGTGGGCTTTCACTCTGTGGGCTTTCAGGCTGGACTACACACAGGCGTGCTGTGGATAGCTCATGCTTTAACAAACTTTCCAGCCACTTTATGGCTTCGACGTCAATGATATATCCCTGATGCTTTACTAATATTTGTGACAATGGTCTTCACGCTGTGGTGTGATGATTAGCTGAAGCGTTCGTCGGCGTATTCAAACAACACTGAAATATTCTCAGTGGTGTCACGGGTGTAAATATTATTATTTATTACATTATTACGGCAGCGGAGGGATTACGATGTCAAACAAAGGTAGGCTAGCATTTCACACTGTGAGCAAGCACGGCCAAGTGTAGTGGCCTGCGTGTGTACTAGGGGTTCAACACAACCTCTGCATAGAAAGCACCTCCTGTTGAGCTATCTATAATGAACTTTCAGGTATGAGCTATCTGCTAAACCTCTTTACGAGGTATGCCTGCGAGCTTAGGTAACCCCACAGGCAACGTTAACTCAACCGTAACAGTTTTGTGGTCGAGGTGCTAGTTAATCAACTAACCAACAGGGTGGGGCAAGCGTCTGATCTGCGCCGAAGCTGGATAGCCCCCATTAAAATTGGTGATTGAGATTATTCATTGCGAAGACGGAAACTGGGTCCCTGCCGCAGCAGATCTTGTAGCAGTCCCAGCAACACCTTTAGTACATGCTTTGATCACGGCTGGTTCTCGGTTGTTTCAGCATCTAATAGTGTCTCGCACATTCGGTGGCGAATCTGGCGAGGATGTGTACGACAAGCTCACACCCTACAAACGAGTGAGAAAATATTACTGATTGGACGCGGCAACTCAGCTTGCCAGTGTGACTTTTTTTTTTCACTGACACGGTGCTTGTGTGGTACTAAAAACACGAGAGTATCCACACGCCATGGCGAAATTTTGAGTCCAAATTAGGGGAGTGTTTCGGAGACTTTGTAGCAATAGATTGTTGCGCATACCTGCAAGGACGATGAAGACGAGTGAACTTGCTGGCCACCCTGAGCTGCAGATTGACAGAAGACAACGACGCTGAGATATTCAACCCACACCGTGTGCTTTATTTGGTTACCTTCACGACCAAATTCATGGCCCCTTCCACCATGTACGTCTTTGCCTCCTTCACATGTATATATATATATATATATATATATATATATATATATATATATATATATATATTGTCACGCAGCAAAGGACGACGCAGTTGTCTATAAGGAAAACAAGTTTATTGGAGCGAACCTGTGCTCCCCTAACAACTGAAAGAATACACAGGCGGCGAAGCAGCGGCCGGCAAAACGACGTGCACGCTAGTGAGCGTCGGCGATTGAATGACGCGGCATCGGCTGTGCGGGAATTTATATCCCTCCGCGCGAAGGTTTCTCGAATAGTCGAATTGTATCGAGAACGCCGTGATAGCGTTTGTTAGAAACGCTGCTCGTTCGAACAGCGTTTCTAACAAACAACGCTTGAAGCGTTGTTTCTATCGAACAACGCCTGAAGCGTTGTTCGATAGCGTTTGTTCGAAACGCTGTGGTAGCGTTTGTTCGAAACGCTGTGAAAACGGTGATAGCACAGGCCGGCGTAGCCAGGCCGAAAAACAAAACACAAATAAACAAACCCAATGCATGGTTCGCGGCAATATATATATATATATATATATATATATATATATATATATATATATATATATATGGTAACTTGCCGTAAGCAGGATCCGAACCTGCAACCTTCTAATAACGCATTCGATGCTCTAGCAATGAGCTACCATGGCGGCTATCCACCCAGCCACTTTATTGAGTTTATGTGAATTTAAACGTGGGAGTGTCAGTCAGCGCCACCTGTAGCCTTGAAGGCGAGTGTGACACACTCTTTGTGAGCCTGTTTGGTGTCACGTAGCACGTGAACTTGTTACGAGCTCGCAGCTGGCTAATAGTTCCTCATATACAACCTAACAGCGCCAAGTCTGCAAGTACGAGACCCTCGTAAATAAAAAGGTGATGAAGTGTATGCCTAAGGGCTCGTTTTCTCGTGTTTTGACACAATAATAATGAGATCCAACAGACAATAATGCCAAGCAATGTGTAGGGGAGATTATTAGACCAACTGTAATGTAAATGTGAACAAAGAAAAGTGGGTGAAAAGATAACTTGCCGCGAGCAGGAACCAAACCCACGACCTTCGAATAACGCGGGTCCTTCATTAACGAGGGTCTCGTACTAGCAGACTGGGTGCCGTTAGGTTGTATACGAGTGACTATTGGTCAGCTGCCCGCTCGTGATAAGTTCACGTCCTACGTGACGCCACACAGGCTCATAAAGAGTGTGGCACAGTCGCCGCCATTGCTACAGATGGCGTTGACTGACACTCCCACGTTTAAATTCACATATATACCCAATAAAGTGGATGGGAGGACGTCCAACTTAATATTTCTAGTGTTCGTGATTCCCACTTTGTTTCTAACGCACGCTGCTTACGTTCGTGAAGACAAAAACTTGGCTGATCTCTCTCTCTAGGGGCCCCGCCGCGGTGGTCTAGTGGCTAAGGTACTCCGTTGCTGACCCGCTTGTTGCGAGATCGAATCCCGACTGCGATGACTGCATTTTCGATTGAGGCGAAAATGCACTCTGCCCGTACGCTCCCACTTGGGTGCACGTTGAAGAACCCCACGTGGTAGAAATTTCTTGAGCCCTCCACTACGTCGTTTCTTATAATCATATGGTGGTTTTGGGATGTTAAACCCCAGAAAGTAAAACGTGTCTTCACCGAGGTGGTTGAGCGTTTATCGTGCATAGTTTTGCCACAGGGATAAAAAATTATGTTGGAGCAACGAATTGCTGAATCACGCGAAGATGGACAAGCAGCTCAAAACTTGCAGTGTGCACCTCAAGAAGAAATCACGCACAAAATGCGAACACACAAGACGAGCACGCATAACTCATTTTTTCAACAAAGAGAAAGACCCACGAAACGAACACACAAGTGTACACAGCACATGCGCTAGCTGCCACAATGCCCTCTTTTTAGGGGATGAGCAGCGTGCTCATATCGTAAACACGGCTGTGGGAGCACTGAAGCGACTTTTGTGCCCTCTCAAATCACGCGTCTGATTAGCGCGTGCGCAGAGGAGATCACGGTCCTCTGGAGGCGGCGCTGAACCAAGCTAAAGAGGTGAGCGAGAGGCCCAACGCGAGCACGTCGCGCCATCTCACTAGTGATGACGAAAACGCCCTGAAGTTACCAAGACCTGAGGGTGTCCAAACAGAATATGAGGTATAAAAATGGCTGGCTGTTAGCAGGGTTCACAACGTACACTCGGTTGCGGAGTGGTTAGCGCCGCGAGCTGGGGATCGCGAGGCTGCTGGCTCAACGCCCCGCAACAAAATACTTCCTTCTTGTATTTTCTTTTTGCAGTCTGTCATTATATAGTTTACACTGTCCTACCCGTGGCAGAAATACGTCAGTGGAGCCGTGATGGACGCTGGCATAAAACACTTTCGTGTTAAAAAGTATACGGCGCACATAGTAGTCATGCCCAGCGGGTAACGTGAACAGCGTCGCGACACGGTACGTTAAACCCATACCGCAGCGCTAGGCCATTTGTACTACTGATCGGTAAGCTGAACATGCTAGTTAGAAGGGTTGTCCGTGATTAAGCCATACTGCGCGTTTGCCGCCCGCCGCCATCACGGCCTCGTGAATTTCCTGTGCCCTCGTGCATTTCCACAAAAACATCACCGCGCTGCACCGTGTCAGTGGCTCCTACAGGTTTTGATTATGCGTCCCCCTTTACCTTCTAGCACTGCGGCAAAGCTGACTTTTGGACTCTGCTACGAACGCTAACAGATCGCCTCAGGAAAGTTCAAGCTCAAACCTACGAGATGATAGAGGCAGCCGAGATGGGAGCTCCAGTAAATGCCCTTCCGGACATGAAATCAGGGCAGGAAATAAAAAAAAATTGGACACCAGAGTTTTTTTTAACATATCAACTTCAAATGTTTTTGTACAATGACGTATATGTGGCTGAATAGCAACTTTGGACTTGAAGGAAAAACTCTTGTGCGTAACGTGAGTTCGGCCTCCAGCAACATTGAAGTAGGCGCCGAGGTTGAGGAAATAACGGCGTTTCCTCTCACGTGTAAATTATTCTGGACACAACACTTATCGTGCCAAATCAATAATGTAAATACAACTAGACCTCTGCATTGTTTCATACTGAATACAGCAAGAGAAATCCACCCGTCTAGCACTACAGTTACCAAGCCGAAAAAATGATTACATGTTGCTTGTTGCTATATCATGAGAATATGCAGTAGAAATTCCTTGCGACTTCTTTTTCAAAGGCTGCATATATATATATATATATATATATATATATATATATATATATATATATATATATATATATTATATATATATATATATATATATATATATAGACA